ATATATTATAGTCACCTAAGTATTTGCTCATCGAAACATCTTGTCTTAATTGTACGGCACCTAAAGAATAGGTTTTTTCAACTAAGGGAGTATTGTAGATGATAAAACGGCCAGAGAAAAAAAAAAGATTTCTTTTGCAGAATCTTGAATGCGAAAATTATTTATATTTCTTAAATACTTAAAAAGAGAGATAGAGAGAAGTATACTTTTTAAATTTGCATAATAAGTAGATGCAGGTGCAATATTTTGCTCTAATAATCCATTTTTTCTTTAAAAAAAAGTTTTAGCAAAAGTAATTACGTAAAGTATTATATTTCATCCTAAAAATTGTAGCAACTTTCCATCATCGCTGAGTCATTTCTAGAATGCTTACATTGTTATCTTGTGCAGACTACCTAGTCAATCTGTCAATTAACTGATTTGCACCGTTAAAATGCGGAATCAAGAGTTTTCCGTACTTTAAGTAGATAAAGTGTACATGAATGGCTTCCATATTATCGTCATTCAAAAGATTGTCCCCCTCCTATTTCTTACTGATAATATTTTGATTTAATTCTTATTCAATTGTAATACTATTTTAAATCATTTGATTTTTTTTTTTGAATTATAGTTATTTAATTGATAAATTCTATCCGTAATATGCTGAATCATTGATTCTTTAATCATTAAATAAGTAACTTTGTGTTCAGTAACTGCCGTTCCAAAAATGATCTCCCTTCATTTACTGATTATCAAAGGTAACATAATAAATGAATCTCTTTTTTTTGTTGCCACTTTAACAGTTAATTTATTTTCCCTATTACTGAAGAATAATTGATTCGCGTGCTCAAGAATTTCATTCAAAAAAATAATCCTCTATTTTCTTCCAAAATAGCCGTTTTTAATGTCTTCTCCTTTTTATCGCCGTTGTACGAGGATCTTCTCTCTTCTAAAGAAGCTATAAAAGACAGATTGGAGGCGCGTATTTTTACACTTGACAGATTCATTCCATAAGCGGGCAACTTGGCAAAGGCCATTACAGCCAGATTGCACGCTATAAAAATGAATGGATATTATAAAGAGGAAGCCATATTTTATTCAACCGAAGAGTAGAGCCTTGCAAATATGGAACCCCCTTCAGAGAAGAATTCTTCAAGAATACAGTTTCAAGACACAAAAGGAGAAGTGAATTTATTTTAAAGTTGAGGTTTAAGAACTTTTTTTTAAAAAGGATAACGAGTAAAAAGAGCTCTAGTTAAAGCATCAAATGTTTCAATCATTGTTTAAAACAAAATAGTGCTTCCCTGGTGTATTTCACATAGGTTAGAATGATTAGAACAATTACTCATTGTTCTCCTACAATCCCCCATTACAGCTCGTTTGCTATTTCATACCATTAGAACAAAACCGTCCATTCCAACCGAAATGTTATCATTTGAGAACCATTATTTTTTTTATGTAACCTCGCAATAACACACCAATGTAGTTTAATAAAGGACATTGTCAGCCAAACAAAGTCCGAAGACCAGTGGGATTTTTTTTTTACAGTGTATAATTATACTGCGTTTAAGGGGTTACAGTACCTTTGCAACAATTTTTTTAAATAAAGGTATAATCATTCATTTTGAGGTACTTTACATGCTTATTTAACTTGTAATCAATAATTTATCTTCAAAAAACAATTAAACTGCTTAAATGTTTTAAAATTTGAAAAAAAGTTGAAAAAATTCAAAATTTTGAAATCCCTAAGGCTTTTTTATTTTAACTTATTTTTCAAAATTTTTTTTTCTTAGTGCTTACAATATTCTTTTTAACAATTTTGTGCATTCATTTACTGATATATAAATTAGGCTATTTTTTATAAAATATTTTGTAAAAAAGTAGAAAAAAAGGGTAAATATTCCTGTTAGGTATATATAACATGCTGTAAAAATTGTAATACCTTATAAAATGCTTATTCCATGCACAGTTTAAATAAGTGTATTATACTTAATAATTAATATTACCTGTACTTAAGATAAAAAAGTTTACTTCAAAGCTTTATCTTAAATAGAAAAAATTCCTTAAGGATTTAATCAAGATCAAAACACAAAATTATAATTTATGAGAAAAAGCCCTTTAAAGTTTGTCTGCAGAGCAAGATTCTGTATTAGGACAATCTAAAATCATTCATAACTTTTTCAAAAATGTAGATAGAGACATGATTTTTTTTTAGTGCATTTGAAATAGTTTGAAGTTTTATTATAAGCAATAAAAAAAAAATTGGTATTTTTGTCATTTTTTGCGTACTGTGAGCCCTTGAAACAGCAAACAGCTAACCTATTTGCTCTACTTTAGAGTAATAAAAGCATATTTTACAGCAAAAGAATATATGGGGAAATTCTTACAGTACTGTTACGTCATAAATTAATAAATAATCATAATAACCAGTTATAGCCGTATTTAACGCAATGCAATTTGTGTCTCTTCCCTCGTTCTTTTGACCTTTGAAGTTTTTCTCACAGCCTGCTTCTTTTGATCAACGATACAAAATTTCACGAGAAGAATCAAAGCTTCATTTCGGTGGGAGCTTAAAAATCACTCCATTAAATAATTTTCTCAGACAGAAAATGGCGGCCTGTGTGAAGAAGAATCTTTCCAACGATTTCATTCCTCATGTGTCAACACTTTTATTTTCGACCCTATGAAAACCTTTACGAAATAACGATGCTTAACATTTAAAATAATTCCTCAAATCTTTTCATTCTCAGTGCTAAGAGGCAGAAGAAATGCCAAACGATAAATTCCTTTCAGCCTCCATCTTTTTATTTATTTATTTTTTCTTTGTTAATCTCAGGCCTGAATAGTCGTCTGACACTAAATATTAAATTAGATTAAAAACAAAACATTCAGGTTAAAAATAATTATAATTTCACCCTCTTTGAAATCGGACTTATCAAATGAAGTGTTTTCTGAAAGTGGGGGAATTTACAAAAGAAGCAATTAGAAACCTCACAAAAGGGTCTTTTAGAAAAAGAAAGAATTTTCCGTCGTCCATTACATGTTTCTCTTTACGCTCTGCTCCCTTCGTTTAAACGTGTATTTTTATTCCAGCTGAAGTTAAAATCTCATAAAAGTTTGGGCAAAACAGAACATTTCTCAGAGGATCATTCCGTAAAATATTTTCGGAAGGAAAGATTTTTAACTGAATCTCATCGAAATAAATCGTATTGTATGTTTTTCTCGTCCTTCAGCAACGGATCAAAAATATAAGACGTTATTTTGGGAATCTGTTTCCAATAAATTTAGATATTTTTTTAAGGTTGTGCCTGACTTTTCGTGACATGTTTAGGTTCTATTTATTTGCTCGTTAAAAAAATTATAGTATTTGTTCGTCATATTCGATGGGAAAGGAGAATTGTATATTTGTGCTCAAAAAATTACGATTTTTGAATCATCCAGTTCATTATGAAAGAGTTGCCAAACCAGATGTTCTAATTCTCCACATCATTTAATGTGGCAGTGAAATAATAGTTAAGTAAATAGTAAGGTTCATCAAGGAATAATAGTAAGGTTCACCAGAATAGTAATGCCCCGACGTTTTATGTTCTAATTGTGGTGGTCTCTTTTGAAATCGGATGTTGAAGTTATAGATATTGGGGAAAAACCCTCGTTCTTTATTTCCCCATTCAAAGCACACACATTCGAATGACAATTAAAGGGAGCGACTCACGAAAATGTAACTATAATTTCTTTCTAAGTGGTCCCTACGAGAAAAAAATCATACGTTACTAGGGCAACCGCTCCAAAACATAAGCAGAAAAATGAGAGGAAGGTTAAATGATAATCTCACGTCAATGGTTATCTCTCTCTCTGGACTTGAAACGTTTCCAGTATTTTTATTTATTAACTGACCAGTTTAAATTCAAGAGTGACCGTTTAAGAATGAAGCTAAATACAGTCAAACCCCTCTATAGTGAACATCCGGAGTGAACGAAGTGTTCGCTTCTGTGCCTTGCTATACACATATAATATTTTTTTTGTGGTTATAGTGAACCAAAAGGAATTGGATAGTATGACCTTTTTTTCTGTCTTTGACTGATTTTTTTTCCCTTCCTTTTTGGGTAGTTTTGAAATTTCTCCATGAAATACATATACCGATTTTCAAAACTATCTATTGAGTGAGCCATAAGCATTTTTTCTTGTTTGCTTCTCTCATTCTCAGNCTAGAAATGTACTTTTAAATCGTTACTTTTTTTGTTTAGTACTTGTAATTTTACTAGTACTTTTTACTCGTTACTTTTTAAAATAAGAACTTTTTACTTTTTACTCGTTACTTTTTTTAAAAAATACTTGTACTTTTACTCGTTACTTTTTAAAAGTAACGTAGCCATATATGGTTATAGTGAATCGAAAGGAATTGGATAGTATGACCTTTTTTCTGTCTTTGATTTTTTTCCTTCCTTTTTGGGTAGTTTTGAAATTTCTCCATGAAATACATATACCGATTTTCAAAACTATTTGTTGAGTGGAATGTATAGCCATAAGCATTTTTTTCTTGTTTGCTTCTCTCTATCTCAGTTTCCCATCCCAACATTTTTTGTACACAAGACGAAGAGTCATAAAATATAATAGTGAACACATTTTTGTGAAATTGTTTCACAAACGAGATCCTTTCCCGACATCTGAATGTCAGTAGCGAGATAATCACGTGGTTCACTTCTGCCACCCTTTTGGGCCGTATTCAATTTTTTAAAATAAGTTGAAAAGTTATAACATAAAACACATTTACTGTTTCATTTAATCTCGTCTGGAAAGTACATATAAAGGATACTTTGTGAAAGAAAGGTCTATCGTTTAAGGTACCAAAGGTAATCTATAAGGTACACCAAATGATTCATGAAGTACCTTTACATGCGTAAAGGGTAAGCAGAGAATATTTTTTTCAGAGGAAATGAGGGGAAATAGGCAAAGAGGGGATGAATCTTAAACTGATGACTAAAATAAGGGATTGTCCTTTATAGTTTGTCTGTGAAATTTGAGAATCAACTGAAATATTCTGATAAATATCGTTTTTTTTTTTTTTTTTTTTTTTTTTTTTTTTTTTTTTTTTTTTTTTTTTTTTTTTTTTNTCATCGACTTATTAACTGTTACTAAAATTATTTTAGTTTTTCACTTTAAATGAAATTCAAAACTTGCTGAATGAAGCAATAGTATATAAACAAGTATTTTTTTTTTCATTTATATATCTAGCGATTATTAAAACTACGTAGAAGAAAAAAAAGAATTTATTACCTGGTATGCAGGTAGGTATGTGCGTCCATGATCCGTTATTACAGGTAGCCGGTGTGTTATTGTAGCGAAGCTCATATTGGGCAATGCAGTCCACGCTGATATGTTTTCCGTGACCTACTTTGGCATCCGGAGCATAGTTAGTAACGCGTCCATGCTCAATAGGAGGAACAGAGCAGGGAGCTGCAATGAAACAGAATGAAATTCTCATTTCTTAAATGGATGATCATTTCTGAAACTGACATGAGTTACAATTTTTCACCTCTCTTAGCTAACTTATTTTTGCATTATTATGAAAAAAAATTATACTCTTCATATTAAATTTGTTTTAGATTTATTGATGATTTAATTATCTTTCATTTTCAAGATTATAGTATTTTATTAAATAATATTTATCCCGAGGAATTAATCGTGCTTCGTAATCATGATGATAACATTAATTTCAATTTTTTGGATTTAGGTATTATATATATATTTGCTTTGAAGAATAAGAGAAAAGAAGAAGAAAGTATCTGCTTTGTTTATTTATACGATAAAAGAAATTATTTTAATTTTAATACAAATAAACTAATTACTTCGACTTTATTGCTTTGGCTCTATTGATACAATATTAGAAAGCTCTACTCTTTGCGGATATAATCGTGTAAACTGGTAAAAAGATTATATCTTATTTTCCGGATTTTTATAATTTTTTTTCCTTTTTAACTTTTATTATTATTATTCTTCATTTTTCCTTTTCTCATTGTTCTGTGATTTTTTTCATGTTTTCTCTACATTTTAATTTTTATATATATATATATATATATATAGGATGTTTTTAAAATCATACTAATAATTCAGAAGGACATCTTTTAGTTTAGAAAGGGGAACGCTATTGAAAAGATCCTGGAAATCAAAAGTAGCAATAGAATTAATTTTATTATGTTTAATGAATTCTAAAAAGGCTTGATTATTAGTGATAATCCAAGAGAAACCTTCTTTATAAATATTGTTAATAATTTTATTTAAGTAGTTAGAGAAAATGGTGCCAGGTTTAGTTAAATAAGTATTAGATCCACATGTGATAATTCTAAATTTTACAGGAATTTTATAAAATTTAGGACTGATAATTAAGTAAGGAAATTGTATATTGCGAATTTTAATTTTTAATCTCTTATATAAAGCTAGCATTTTTTTTAATGACAGTATTATTATTGAAATTACTAAGTTTAAAATGTTTACTATTTTTTAATTCCGTATTTAAAAGTTCAACATAGAATTTTTTTACAGAAGATTGCATAATTATTGTTAGCTTTGTCTATGGGAGTAATTACAGTACCAACGTCAATAGCTCTGTTTACAATTTACTACTGTAAATAGAGTTATTTACAGCCTTGTTTTAAATTGGTTTCATGAATCCATATCCAGATATACACCGCAACATCTCCTGGCACCCTTCTAGGAATCAATTGCGATCGAAGCTCCCAGACTGCCTTGGCCACATTCTCAACTGGTCACCTAAAGTATCTAACATTCGAACGTGGCACAAAAATTTGTAAAAAATGCTGCGTCCATTCAGCCTCACGGAAACATATACTTGATTGTGTCGGACTATCCAGGGCGGACTTCCTTCTTGTCATCGACTTTCTGGCTGTCAAGAACTTTTTGGAGTCTTTGAGGATAAGCAACAACCTATCCAGATATCAAACAAATGATGGCAGCGATCCTTACAGGATTTATAGACACTGTCAACCTTCATCTATGAAAAGGTACCCCCCCTCCATGGAATCGAGTTAACATGTGAATTGTATTTTTGTAGCACTACACGGCGTCTTGAGTAATACGGACAAAATTTGGGTTGCATTTGACAACATTTTCAACAATTCGCCGTCTTCCCAAATCCTCTTTTCTCCAAACGTTAAAATAAAAATGGAAGTGAAAATAGAACTTCACTCGTCCTCTTGAAGAATATCATCTCTCATGCATACAAAACAACAGTAAACTCTCGCTACTACGATACAACAATAACTCCCTCTATTACGATAATGTTTCGTAGTCCCGACGAACTTCCAAATTAATTAATATTATTCTACTCTCTATATTACGATATTCCCTGAAGCAATAAACCCCTGAAAAACGATTTTTGTTCCAAATTTCTACCTTATTTTCTCCATTTATTAATGGCTTCCAAATAATGGTAAAAAAATCTGATTTTATCATCTTTTGCAATTTTTCCTTTTTTTTTCTGAGAAGAAAAGGCTCACTGCTGACCACCCCAAGACTGTTCCATTCTTAGAATGGCCTCCCTTATCTCTTAAGAAGTCACAGTCTTAACATTCCTATCTGATGTTAAATTTGAGTCACAAATGACCACAACCATCACATTAACAATGAAAGAGAATTTTTTCCGTAGAGGATGGATGGAGCACCATTCACAAACGAAAACCATTTTCATGCTTTGAACCCAATGCGTACTTCGTAAGTTGACTTCAAAAAAATGATTAGACAAACAAAAATATCGGATTATTTTCAATAAAAACGGTTTTCAGGTATGTTTACGATCTTATTTCAATTGTTTTTCTAAAATTA